AAAACATACATCAGGAATAAATTAAATATTGTATTCCCAAATGTACGATAGCGTATCATCCATGTTATAATTTCGGGCCTTTATGGCTGTTCAAAGATATAACAGGGTCGGATTGTTATAAAAAATACTGAATAAAATCCTTATTTGACTCGACTCTTCCAAATATTCGGGTTGCTCCTAATTATTTTGTGGCATGACTTGATAGCATGTGACATTCACAAGTGTCACTATACATCTCCAATGCCATGTACGAAAAATTTCCTGTATGAACTTTCCATAAAGGTAATGCAAGTGCGTTGCCTAAATTTAAATTAGTATAATCTTCAAGCTGACCAAATCTAATTTAAAAGCAACCATGAAAAAGCAAACATTTAATACTAATTCGACTATATCTCCGCTTCTGATAACATTCTTTTCTTTTATGTAAAATATGTTCAAAATCAGTCCTTCTCCCTCCCATTTCACCCTCAATAATTTTTTTTAATGGTATGCTTAACATATTTGATCCTTAACTTCTAACTATTTCGTGAATATATCATATTTTTTAATAAGGTGGTCACTAAAAAACGTAAAAAACCTTTAGTTCCGCAAGTCCCCGCAGCTAATTTTTTTACACATTGAAGAACACTCTTTTCACAACTCAAATAAAAACGAATTAGGACGAAACTGTTTTGTTCTACTCCACTAATTTAAAAAGTTGCTTTACACATTATATGAACTAAGGACCAAAGGCGTGGATAGCTGTAAACTCCATATTGTCATCCAAAACAAACAAAATAAACACTTTTATAATAACCGTTAATTTAAATATTCAAAGATTTTAGCATCAGAAAATTTGTGAAAAATGCTGTTTGCCAACAATTATTAGATTTGAACTTTTGTATAGACAAAACTACTTGACTTATCAATACCAAATTTCATATTTATTCTACTTGGAGTGTTTTCTATCAATTCTCATCAATAAATTTGACCTCCGAGGAAGTTGGTTTTGGCCATTTTTGGCCACGGTCGTGACATCCTTCATATCATATCCTTAACCTCTCAAAAATGCTGGTCGATAATTCTTTTACTGTTAATCGTTCTACTTCCGCGTAGATACCAGTGTCAAACCAGTAAGGAAAGTTCCAAAGTCGGACGGGCCGACTATATGATATATGCTGTAGATAGAACAGACTTAGTATCTTTGGAGGACCATTGAATTCGAATCGGGCGAAATTAAATATGTGATCTCCATAGATATTTGAACCAATGAAACCATACACAACATTTCTGATATCTATGAAAAATTTCATGTCAATCGGGCACACTTGGATTTTTTGGTGTACCATTTGTATGAAATGTATCAAAATTTTGTATAGGAGCTATATGTAAATCAGGACCTAATCGAGCAACCGTGGCATACGCCATCTAGTATTCTGCAGCACATCTCGATATTATACGTTGTGTAGAAATTCGTCCCAATCGAAAAAATCTTTAGTTATTTGGTACACCATTTAGATGAAATCAGATGGAAATATATATGGAAGCTATATAACCCTGAACGGATTTCAAAAAGTTTCAATCTAATACTATATGCAATATTTCATGTAACGTTACCAAACGTCAGCTTCTCGGTGCACCATTTACATATTTGTCTCAATCGAACAAACCTTGGGAATTTGGAGCATCATTTATCTATAATCGGACGAACTATATATGGGATCTATATCTATATATGATCCCATTTCAATAAAACTCAACACATTCCGCGGTGCCATCTGGGGTAGCTATTTTCATCACCCGTTGGAATAGTGCGCTGATATGTGCCGCGAGTTCGTCCATAAAAACTATAAAAAATGGTTTGAGGCGTCGGGTTAGTTACTCACACTCGGAAAACCACTCCTACTATGAAAAAGCAAAGAAAACCAAACGTCCCTAATGTTGACGACCACCGCACGATCTGCGAATGTGCGCACGTTGTGCAGAACAGGCACAGTTTTCGCTTTGGCGGATGTACTCAAGAAGTACAAAGATATTACTGCCTTACAGGAAATGCGATGGAAAAGGTCTGGCGTAAGTAAATCAGATGATTACGCCCTGTATTATAGCTGCCATGAAACGAGACATAAATTTGGCTGCGGATTTATGGTTGACAGGAGAATAAAAGACCTCGCCTCCAGATTCACTCCAGTAGATAAGTGAAGTTCTTCTATATCAGTCTTATTTGCGCCCATGCTCCGACCGAAGATGAAGATGAACAGACCAAAGATATATTTTACGAGCGCCTAGAAACAGCATATGACCGCTGCCCTGGCCATGACATTAATGCAAAAATCGGAAGGGAAAATATCTTTGCCCCACCGTCGGAAAATTCAGCCTCCATGAACAAACATCAGACAACGGCATGAGGTTGATTGACTTCGCGGCAGCAAAAAACATGTTAGTTAGCAGCACCAGATTCAAGTATCTCGATATACAGAAGGCCACCTGGATTTCTCCTGTTCAAACAATGAGAAATCAAATTGATCGTTTTGTGATAGACGGAAGGCATTCATCCAGTGTTTGGATCCGAGGAGCGAATATCGATTTGGACCACTACCTTGTAGCAGCCAAGGTTCGCACACGTCTTAATGTTTCAGCAAAGGTGCGATTTAATGTAACACGGAAACTCGACGTCGAAAAATGATTGTATGCATATTCTCAAAAGGAACCATGTGTCTATCTCGTTTTTTTCCTGTTACAAACATGTGGACAAAGACATAATACCCTCTACCATGTAAGGTGATTCATGGCTAACCCTCAATTGCAGAAAAAAAATAAAATATGACGGGGCTAGGAATATGCAATCGAAGGATAAAAGTCTAAACAACTGGATAAATGGGTGTTGAAAACACTTTATATACATTTTGTATGTATGTTTTGTATATAGTGCCGGTCACATAATTAGCTGAAGGGAAAAGTGCTTTGTTTAACCATCGAATCGTTCGGAATATTTTTAAATAGTTTTTTTTATTGAAACGCTTGTGTGTACTGTACTTGATCGATTGAATATGAGAACAGAAAATTATCACTGGAAGTATGTTATATATAACAGTATTTATGAAGCAAGTCAAATTTGAGAGGGAAACGTAATTAGCTCATCTTGGAATTTTTAAATTAAATGTCGTTGATATTAAAAACATATATATAAAAAAATACTTCGTGTTAACAAATTAAGTCTGAAGAATCATTTTCAGAAGAAAACATTTAAAAAAATATATGTAAAATCTATTTAAATTGGAACAATTCGTACTGCAAACCTAAAATTGGGAAAGTCAGCATTGAAAAAAAAATAAATATGCGACTGGCCCAGAAATTGCTAGAATAACTAGAGATCGATAAATATTTATAAAAATAAGCAAAAATTCGAAATAAAAACTCAAAAGTTAGAAATTCACTTGAAGGACACCTTTGACTTTGAAAGGCTTCTAGAGAGAAAACATGTATTTTTTTGCAGTATGTGAGGAAATATCAATTTGTAATGACATTTGATATATCAAATCAGTTGTTTGAGTAGAAGAACAAAGACTTTTATCGAAAAAAATATCAGTCGAAACTAAATGATCATGGATGTAGGGGTATGATGTATGGGTATGATGTAGGGGTATGACCAGTATACGTCTATATCACACAGCTAAGATTTTGCTGATCTACTCAGGATGATTAAAATATGTGGAAATATAAAATTCTTTGTTCTTCTATTCAAACAACTGATTTGGTACATCAAATGCCATTACAAATTGATATTTCCTCAAAAGTTAGAAAACTTTTGAGTTTTTATTTCGAATTTTTGTTTATTTTTATAAATATATATCGATCTCTAGTTATTCTGACTTTCCCAATTTTAGGTTTGCAGTACGAATTGTTGCCAATTTAAGGTGACCTCCCCATTCTCGGTGTCAAAATTTTTTGATTTAATTCGAATCTACTCTAATTCAAAAATGTCTCTACAAAATTTCAAGTGAAAATCTCAAAAACTCTTGAATATATAGCCGATTTATTGTGTCAGCATCAAGTGACGGCAACAGTGGTTCTCAAACTTTAAACGCATTTTTCTCAAAGCAGTGTTTTACGAATGGCGGGCACCATAACTCAAAAACTAATAATCCAATCGGTTCAAAATTTTGACACGTTTCTCGGGGAGTGTATAGCTCTCGTATGAACTAGGATAAAGCCAATCGGTGAAGATCTTCCTTATTTTTTTAACTTAGTTTGTGGTCAAAAATAGGCGATTTTCCAAAAAAAAAAATCAAAGTTCCACCATTTTGTTAATTGTTGTGCGAAGTCAATAATCCTAGTTCATACGAGAGCCAGACATGTACTTTGTCTAACACCGTTGGAATTTTCGGATTCCGATGTTCCAGTGAGTAGTTATCATGCCCGCCATCAAAAATAAGCACTTTTCTTTGATCACAAAAAAACAACATCAAAATTTTTGTAAATTATTTTTCTTCCTTTTTAAATCTTCAAATATATATGTGCAAAGTTACAAACATTGATATTCATTTACCAGCCCATTTAAAATCTTAAAAATAAAAAATCGAAAATGGGGGGTTCCCTTAAATAGATTTTACTGATTTTTTTAACTTTTTCTTCTGAAAATGATTATACAGACTCAATTTGTTAAAACGAAGTAGTTTTTTTGTATATATTTTTTTAATATCAACGACAACGATATTTAAAAATTCCAAGATGTGCTAATTACATGTCCCTCTCAAATTTGACTTGTTTCATAAATACCGTTATATATCACAAATTTCCAGTAATAATTCTCTGTTCTCATACTCAATCGATCAAGTACAGTACACATAAGCGTTTCAATAAAAAAAAACTATTTAAAAATATTCCAAACGATTCGTGACCGGCACTGTATATATATATATATATATATATCACAAACATATCAAAAGTTATTAAAATTCTGATCATTTCGTTCTAGGCATGAAACTTGATAGATATTAAAAGTAAATAACAATCCTTACCATGTCCGGATCATTCCAATGGCCTGGACCAGCATATTGTGCAATATGGTCTTGATTATTTCCATAGTAATCAATAATACTTTCTACTGACGCCCACGAATCCTGAACATCATCGAAGTTTCTCCACATATTGCAATGTTCCATTATCGTACTAAAATTGGGCTGAATACCAGCGTATATTTGATAAACTGGCCAACTACACGAAAACACCATTGGTCTTCCAGTACTATTTAATATTTTCTGAAATTCGCTATATCCTTTATCCATATCTTCAGGAAACGCGTAACAACCATCAAGTTTAACATAATCAACGCCCCATTCCGCAAATTGATTTGCGTCAGAAATTTGATGGCCAATTATGCCTGGATATCCTGCGCATGTATAGTTCCCAAAGTCTTCATAAATTCCAAATTTAAGGCCCCTGGAATGAATCTTTAAGTAAAATTTAGTTTATATTATTGCATGTTTTTATTATTATTACCTTCATATAATTGTTATATATTTAATATTGTTTAGTTTGGTATCAATGTTTTATTGAACCCTGCCAAGAGTTGTCACAATTAACAATTATTTATACTTACATAGTTTGAAAGATATTTCATGCCACTGGGAAATCGTAGTTGATCAGGCACTAGCTTTCCATTTAAAGATCTTTTTTTCTCCAACCAACAATCATCAATATTTATGTATTCATATCCCACAGATGCATAACCTTCAGTTATAAGAAGGTCAGCCATAGTCTTGAATAGATTTTCGCTGCAACGAAGTAACACAATAATACGTGATATATTTCAATTGTCCAACAATTTCAATTGTTAAACAATTTCAATTGTTCAACAATTTCAAAACTAATTTTGATTTTTCCGATAAACATATTGAAATAATAAAAAAATAATCAATAATCTATATATAAAAGGAATAGTTCTTCGTTTCTCCGCTTATAACTCACGGAACGGCTGGTGATTCGTGCCAATTTATAATGCTCTATGGCTCGGTAATTTAAAAAAAAATATTGTGAAGCAATTTGCATTTTCAAGAAAAAGTTGACATAAACCACTTTCAAAATAAACGACTCATATAAGGATTGCGAGGACGCTGATTACGATTCTGCTAGAAAAAAGTAAACATTCGTTATGATGGATCCAAAATGGTGGCCAAGTTTTTTAAATACATTTTTAATCGTGTTTTTATAAAACACTTCTTTTTTAATTATTGTTACTGATCGCAAATGTGAAATTAGAGTTCAAACATAAGAAAATATTAAATATTTCCTTTCTTAGACTATTTAAGATCGAAATATAGCATGAAATTAGTGGTTTATGTATTAAAGGCGGGATGCGAAGAATGATTAAAATACACTCTTTCTTACGAATGCTCACGGGCGAGAATTCAAACGTTTTCAATTTATCGCGAATGATAAAGTTACAATGAATGCACAAGCATTTGCATTCTCTCGCGAATTTTCGCATTGTATGAAAAATTCACGAACGATAAAATTTCGCTGCAAGCGTCGCCGATTCATTCTTTCGCGAGCATTCTTTGCTGAAGAATATGCTATTGAAAAACTCTAAAAACAAATGTTCGCGAATTCTCGCCAGCACTGTTAAAAACAACAACAAACAAAAATATTTTAAAAACTCACACAAACAATGAAAGAATGTGTGTGGAACAGCGATCGGCAACAAATACATATGCATTTGTTTGGTCACACAGACACAAAGTGTGTGAGAGTAACTCTTGCTCTCTCGAAAAACTTCATCTGTAATAATACATTGCTACGATCAAAATCATGAAAATAAGCGATAACACAACCGCCTTCATCAACAGCTAAAACGAGACTGATCGGTGGCTGTTTTCTTTCACGAACGTTTGTTGTTATTGTTGTTGCCGAATGCTCGTTTGGTGAAGAATTTGTCGCCATAAATTCATTCTTTAAATGATCACAAAACGAAAAGAATGTATTTTGAATCATTCGCGAGCGAATTTTTGCGCACCCTGATTAAAGGCATGAAACTATAATATACCTTAATTAAATTTGAAATATAATCAATTCGGAGGAAAAGCGTCTCCAAATTCCCCAATATACCGAATAATGAGGGGTCAGATCATATGGTGCCTACCCCCGAAATTTATGTCAATATTAATAGGAAGATTTCCTGCCCAATGAAAATTAAAAATACTGAATTACAGGCAATTTGGTTGAAAATGCGCACATAACTCCCAAAATACCGAAATATTTGCTAATCAATGATAAATGATATACAAAAACTCCGACAAAAATATTTATTATAACATAGACTCCCATGATGTTACTAATTCATTTCAGACATGTTCCTGATTACCGATACACAGGTTAAACAATTATGGTAATAAATTCAGCATACTGAAAATTAAACGGGAAATGTGAATGGGTTCTATTTTTAAACCATTAACCTATAGTGCATAAGTTTTTTATTTACGCGAAATCCGTTATTCCCAATTATAGCCACATTTATTAGAAAAAAAAACGTAATAAAACCGAAAATGGGTAGGCATCGGTATGTAGTGGCTATTTAAAATCTTTGATTTAAAATTTTGATTTATCCTCCAATGACATATAATGACATATAAAATCCACATGCGAACCTGAAAACTCAAATTAGATTTTCGATTTTATCTGAATATATTGCATATTGACAACAGAACCATATTCTAATATAGATCTAACAAGAGACGTGTATTGTTGTTTTGTTATATAAGGATCCGAGAATTCTTTGGCCCACCGTTTTATAAAACATAATACACCATATGCTTTATTTATCATAAAAATAGCATGATTGTTAAAGTTTAACTTTGGATCCATTAAAATACCAATATCCACGAATGTTTCAACTGTTGATAAAACCGAACCGTTAATATTGTATTGCCTCATCAATGAAGAATTTCTAGAAAAACACATATGTTTACATTTGTTCAAATTTAAATCCATACAATTTAATCTGCACCACTGAAAAAGGTTATTTAAATCATTTTGGAGTAAAATGGATTGTTTCTCAGAATTATGGGTAATGAATAACTTGACATCATCTGCATACATTAACAATTTAGAATGTACTACAGAAGTTGGCAAATCATTTACAAACAATAGAAAAAGAACCGGCCCGAGGTGACTTCCTTGTGGAACACCTGAAGGTACGTTAATCGATTTTGAGAGACATCCTTCAAACAAAACTAGCTGTGATCTATTTTGTAAGTAAGATGATATCCATTTGACTAAGTTTATACTGAAGCCCATATTATCTAATTTATATAATAAGAGTTCATGGTTAACCCTATCAAAAACTTTACTAAAATCTGTATAAATGGTATCAGTTTGATTTCGCTGAACAAATCCCTTTATTACAATTGAAGTAAACTCTATAAGATTTGTTATAGTTGAAAGACGTTGTTTTATTTCCCAATACAGTTCGTACTAAATAAAACGCGGGTTCTTTCTGATTACGAATATTACAATGATTTTATTGACACAACTTTACTTTGCACTTTACTTTACTTGACGGTTTCAATTCGCGATCTGATTCACAACTTCTAACTGCCTTGCCATTTCCCCTATTTATATGAGCCTTGCCTGTCGCTACAGAAGTTTCTAGACGATCTGGTAACACCTAGATTACGAACAATCTACCAATGCAACAAACACATACAAACTTACATTGAGTGAACAATAACAACAACACATATACAGGCGAGGGAGTAACAAAGAAAGAGGAATTAAGCGATCATCAATGATGACGTTTACCACGAATTGTATGTCAATAACAAAATAGACAATGAAAGAGGAAATGGAAAGATGTAGAAAAATCTATACAGTAGTTGTTGTTGTGAAGTTATTCGAATAAACTGCGTAGTAGAAATTTACGTTACAATTCAAATTCTTAAATTAACGGAATTCATCAAAATTAACTTAAATCTAAAGTTATATTCGTACCATTGCCCCCGCTTAAGCCTGTTCGTCCCGAATAGGCACAGTTCCCGTTCCGTAGGGGGCCAGCCGCTCCAAATGTACAACTTTCATCTTCGACCTGGGACTGTCGCTCCTCTGGATGCGATAAACGACGTCATTTATTTTCGTGACAATCTTGTAGGGTCCTTCTCAGTGCGTTTGCAATTTGGGGCATAGTCCTTTCTTTCGTTATGGGTTGAACAATAGTACCAGTTGCCCTTCTTGAAACCCATTGGTATTTGCCGCTCGATCGTACCTTGCCTTCATGCGGTTGATAACCATTTTTATTCGATGGCGAACTGCATCGTGGACTTTACTAAAAGAGTTTTGACTGTCTTCATCTTGGTTCACATAGTCGTTTGGGGTAGCACCGAATATCAAATCGCCAGGTAGCTTTAATTCATTTCCGAAAAGAACTTTGGCTGGAGTCCGGGATGTGGAATCATGAATGGCCGATCTATAAGCCAGTAAAAACTTTGGAATATGTTCATCCCAGTCTCGTTGGCCACTGTCCACCACTTTCCGTAGATATTCTTCCAGGGTGCGATTGAATCTTTCCACCATGCCATCTGATTGTGGATGTAGGGGCGTCGTTCTGGTTTTCTTGATTCCGTAGGAGTCACACATTTCCTTGAAGATCGCTGATTCTAAATTCCTCAGTGGAACACCATAGCGACAAATCCAATTTTTGCTGAACACATCCACAATTGTCCAGGCTTCTTGATTTGGGATAGCATAAACCTCTGGCCATTTGCTGAAGTAATCCATGACCACTAAGACATACCGGTTCCCAGAGTCGCTTATTGGGAACGGTCCAGCTACATCCATTGCGATTCTTTCAAAAGGGGCTCCTGAATTATACTGCTGCATGTGGCCTCCACTCTTCCGTGTTGGACCTTTAGCTCTTATGCACCTTTCACAATTGGCAGTCCAGTCGGCAATGGATTTTTGACAGCCGACCCAGAAGAATCTCTGATTTACCTTTTCAGCGGTTTTTGCTATGCCATGATGTCCTCCACTTGGTCCGCGTGAAACTCCGACAAGACATCTCTTATTTTGGAGTCTGAGACGACGATCAAGTTCCGGTGAGATTTACCGTCCTCACTTTCCCATTTGCGATATAAGCAACCATCTATTATAAGTAGACTATCCCACTGGGCCCAATAGGATTTTAAAAGAGGGCTTTCGGAGGTAATTTCTTTGGGACCAAGTCGCTTGCCCGTTTCTATGGCCGAAATTATTTTGCCCAGAATGGGATCTCTTCGTTGTTCCGTCGACCAATCTTCACCCGACTCAAACTGCAATAGTCGGACATCAACGATATTCTCTTTATTCTCAGCCTTTGAGCAATGCCTGCATTCTACCTTGCATGGCCGACGAGACAGGGCATCAGCATTACGGTGTTTTCCGCCTTTTCTGTGCTCGATTCTGAAATCATAACTCTGGAGCCTCTCGATCCAACGGGCTAGTTGACCTTCCGGATTCTAAAACTGCAGCAACCATTGGAGAGCAGCGTGGTCGGTCCTCAGCAGGAAATGCTGGTCATATAGGTATTTGTGGTAGTGTTTAACGCTCTCAAGGACAGCAAGCAGCTCTCTCCTAGTCACACAGTAATTCCTCTCAGGCTTCGACAATGTCCGGCTGTAGTACCCGATGACTTTTTCCTGTCCGTCGATTTCCTGGGAAAGGATGCCACAGATGCCGCACGCACTTGCGTCTGTGTCAAGAGCAAACCTGCCGCCAGGTATAGGGTATGCCAAAATGGGGGCTCTGC